GAGTGGGCATCTGGGGGAGGAGGGTGTGAGTCCGATGGAGGAGCCCTTCTTCCCTGGACTGCAGTGCCGCTGGCAGGTTGGAGGCTTTGGCATTTCCTGAGGCGGAAGAGAGGAGCCTCGGCACTGCACACTGGAGGATAATAGCAGTGACATCATAGTGCCACCTGTTTGTGTGCCAGCTCCAGCTGTGCTTAATGTCCTGGTCCCCCGTAGTACCCTATTGGTTTGTAGGGGCATGTGGGGAGGGCAGTGGCCCAGATCAGCCCACTGATCAGAGGCAAAGCTGGGGCTTCCGTTCAAAGGTTGTGCCAATGTGGTGGCCCTCAGTGCTGATGCAGAGAGAATGCAAATCTGACGCCTTGATTCCTAGGGACTGAGGAAGGGGGAAGCACAGCTACCTCGCCTCCCTGCAGAACCGCTGTGTGCACCCAGCCCCTGACTGGGGGCTTTGTTGTGTGGGTGCAGTCTGCCTCTCCTCTCCTCCCTCCTCCCCTCCCCCTTCCTCCCTCCTCCCCTCCCCCTTCCTCCCTCCTCCCCTCCCCCTTCCTCCCTCCTCCCCTCCCCCTTCCTCCCTCCTCCCCTCCTCCCCCCCTCCTCCCCTCCCCCTTCCTCCCTCCTCCCCTCCCCCTTCCTCCCTTCCCCATCCTCCCCTCTCCCCTTCACTCCTCCCTCCTCCCCTCCTCCTCTCCTCCTCTCCCCCTTCCTCCCTTCCTCCTCCCTCTTCCCCTCCTCCCCTCTCCCTCCTCTCCTCCTCCTCCCCTCCCTCCTTCCCTCCACCTCCTCCCCTCCACCTCCTTCCCTCCACCTCCTCTCTACCTCTCCTCCCCTCCTCCTCCTCTCCTTCTCCCCTCCTCCTCCTCTCCTTCTCCCCTCCTCCTCCTCTCCTTCTCCCCTCCTCCTCCTCTCCTTCTCCCCTCCTCCTCCTTCTCCCCTCCTCCTCCTCCTCCTCCTCCTCCTCCCCCCCTCCTCCTCCTCTCCTTCTCCCCCCCTCCTCCTTCTCCCCTCCTCCTCCTCCTCCTTCTCCCCCCCTCCTCCTCCTCTCCTTCTCCCCTCCTCCTCCTCCTCCTTCTCCCCCCCTCCTCCTCCTCTCCTTCTCCCCTCCTCCTCCTCCCCCCCCCACTGTTCCCTGTCCTATTTGGTTAACAGTGCAGGTCAGATGTGTAGGTGACCACCATAGGAGGCAAGTGGGAAGGCAGATGGACCCAGAAAGCCCCCGTGGGGCTGGCATCCTGTCCCCACAGCCCCTGAGGCCCCATGGTGACAGCCACATGGCAGCACCTGGATGCCCTGTGGCGCCCACGTGGTACTGGACACCTGTGACTCCTGTTTGAGTCCTGGTTCCCCTGCCCAGCCCACCCTGCGGCCTCCCTGCGGCCTCCCTGCGGCCTCCCTGCGGCCTCCCTGCCACCCTCTCCTGTGTGCGCGTGGGTGGATGCTGCTGTCCCTGGCATTTCTTCCTTGGTTCACGCGCCCCCTGCAGGGCACTGCAATCAGCTGCCACACTTGGGCTTTCCGAGTGCCGAGAGTCAGAAACAGCCCGCGGCTTCCCCAGCGTCAGCGGCAGCTGCACATGGGCGGTGGATCTCCGAAGCAGGAGAGGGGAGTACCGGGGAATCCCGCGGGCCACTGGGTGCTACTGTCCCCTCCGCTCCGGCCCTTGGCCTCTTCTGCTCCCAGCTGTTTCTACCTGGTCCTCTGGGCACTCCTTGCTCCCCAGACCCAAGCCATGGACACTCAGCTGTGTGGCTGTCCTGAATATGCAGAGTGGTACAGGGACAGGAACTCACCTGTTCCCCCATCCACAGAGTGGGTGTTCACGGGGTCTCATTTCATGGAGCTTCAGGACCTCAGAGGAGGTCCCGATTCAGCCTGACCTCCTCCTCCTGGGCTGTGACTTTACCCACAGGATGCCCACATCTACTCTGACACTGCTTGTCAGCCAGGGTTCACTGTGCCCCTGCCTGGACCTCGCCGCCCAGGCGACAGCCCTCTCTCTGTCTTGACTAGCCCGGCCTCTCACCCTGTCCCTGCCAGCTAGTGTCCACAGTGGCTTCTGGAACCAGCTTTGGGTTTGATTCTAGCCCCAGGGGCCCCTGCAGCTGCCTCCCTGAGCCTCTACCCATCCACAGCCAGCTTGGGGCCATGCAGATGGATGGGGTACCCCTAGTCCCTGTCACTCAGACCCAGTAAGTAGCAGGCTCTCTTGCTGTTCCCATTCTACAGGGGCTCAGACATGTGGTGCATTGAGCCAGCCCCAGGTCTTTAAGTGACATTGAACTGACATTTTTTACATTTTTCTTCCCAGGGTTTTGTGTGTGGAATTGGGGAAGATGGGCCACTATTTTTTAAGTGCCTCCATACAATCCCAAATGCTTATTAATAACCTAATAACCACAGTGGTCACAGCGTGATGGTGATCACAGCAAATGCTACAGGGCCCTTCGCTTGGTAGTCACCACAACTCTGGCCCCAGGAGAAATTTTCCTCATCAGTCACCTCATTTCATGTGCTTGGGACCTCTGGGAAGGAAGACTCCCACACCCTCGCTGTGCACGTCATTCAAGGGTCTGTGGCTTACCCGGGGCCACAGTGGTCAGTGCTGGCGCTGGGACGCAGACTTGGCAACTCCAAGCCTTGGCCAAGGTGCTGAGTGGCCACTTGGGCTGCACCAGTGCAGCCGGTGCCGGGGGATGGGGCGCAGGTAACTAGATGGGGGTCTGACCAGTGCAGTAAGTTTTGTCACCTGTGGCCTCTGTAGCCTCTCAACCCTGAGATGGACAAAAGACTTGTGTGTGGGCAGCGGAAGTTCCAGGTGCCAGAGCAGCCACTGCTGCACACAGGAGGAGCAGTTGGGCCGGCCAGAGGAAAGAGGCCTGCTGGGAGTGCTCTTTATTTTTTTGTGGTGCTGGGGATTGCTCACCCACAAACGTCAGAGAAAAGGTGTAAATTGAGGGCATAACATCTGGGAAGGAATTTATAAAGACCTTGTGCTCTTTATTCATAGACATCCTTGAAATAATTTCTAAAGAAATCCCCAAATTCCAAGCAAGTGTTTTAAAACACCATTGTGCATTATCTCATCTGATTCTCACCACTCCGTGAAGATCTGTTGTTTAGTCCTCATTGTGGGAGAAGATAAGGCTCAGAGAAGTAAAGTAACCTGCCCAAGGACACATAGCTGAGAAGTTACACGCCTCAAACTTGAGTCCCAAACTTTTGTCCTCCTGCTTCCAAAGCCTATGTGCCACTGCTCTGCCACACCACCTAACTGTCCTTGGGGGCGACCTGTTTCTTGAACACTGCAGGAGGGAGCCTTGTCTTCCTGAGCCCAGAGGCTGCAGAGCTGACCACTTCGTTGCCTCCTCAGGAACCTTCGCTGGCTCCCCACTATGTGCAAGCTCACCCCGACAACTGACTTCCTCTCTTTCTCATCTCCTTCCACCTCCAAGAGCTTTCCATTCTGCGCACCTCCCCCTCCAATGTGGACTCTGCACAAGGCACAGGTTTTCTCTTCTGAAGCCTGCCTTGGTCCCTCGTGGTCTTTAACTCAGGGACCAGTGTCTACAGGGAGGAGTGACCTTCCCCGCACTGGCTCCTCATGCAGGTCTCAGTGGAAATGTGTCTCCTCAGGCCCATTCAGCCCTCACCCCTGGCGCCCAGGTCTTCTCTCCCCCTTAGCATGGCCTCTCTGAAACGGTGGTGCTTTGTCTGATGGCCCTTGGACTGGGGGCTTCCCAAGGGCAGGAAGGCTCCTCTGCTCAGGCTGTGTTCTGGGGGCTGGAACAGTGCCCAGCATGAAGCAATAGTCCACAGCTACTTGCTGACTGATCAGAAAAGGGCATGTGGGGGGTTAGGGCCTGACAGCGGGGAGCAAGGTTCAGTGAGCTAGGCTCTGCCTGCGTGGCTGGGGACAGATGGAGAAGGCCCTCTTCCCTGGGTTCCAGCCAGTTGTCGGGGCAGTTCACATCTCGGGGAACATCAGACGAGCTGCAGGAGCCACCACCCACAGAGACCAAAGAGACATGAAGCCCCTGGGGGCGAGAGCCAACTGTTGGGTTGCAGAGTGGAGGGCGGCTGGGCTTTGTGCCGGGACAGGCGGTAAATCAGAGGCTTATTTTTGGAGGCAACATCCTCACTGGGGCAAAATGTTATGGCCTCAAATTCTGGGTATTCAAAGCCTTGGCCCTGTTGCCTCCCTGTGGTGGCTAAAGGATCCGGAAGTGGGACATTTTCTGGCTCTGACCCAAGGACAACATTATCTGAGGCTCCAATTATTTTTGTAACTAACATTAATTTTGGCTAATTATGCCTCCCACTCCTGACAAAAACCTTTGTTTATGTGTGTTGGGGTTTTATTTTTTCTTTCTTTGGCTGCATTCTCCAAGTCCCCATGTGAGAGGCCATTTGAAAAGGAAATGAGGATTTGTCTTCAGAAGCAAGCGGCACAGTGGCTCCGCGTGGAGGAGGAGGGGAGGGGAGCGACGCGGCGATGGGCTGGCTCTCAGAGGAGATTCCCAGTTCCTATTGAGCGCTGGCAGTGCGCGTCACTGACAAGGGGGGGACGCCCTCAGACCTCCTTAGACACTCCCCTGTGCTGGCTGCTTGGTGCCTGGGCTGATGGCGGGGCTGGGCTGGGAGGTGTGGAGCTCCCAGCACCTCCAGAGCCGGAAGCCTGGAGACAGGTGGCGCCACCTGCCCTCCCCCAGCTGGTGGGCCAGAGGAGGGATTTTCTGAATGGACACTCCTGGCAAGCTTTGGGTGAGGAGGCTGGGAAAGGAAGACCTGGACCCCTGGAGTTGGAGCAAGGACAGCCCTCTCTCCCGCCTGGGAGCCTGACTTGATTTTGCCACCAAGAGGCAACAAAGGTTCACTCTCACTCCTTCCACTTTTTGAGAGGCCATCTCCAGGGGTGTGCCAGCCGCCCTTGCCTGCCTGGACCTGGGGTGAAATTTGCAGGCAGCCACCATGGTGCAAAATGTAATTTTAGTGCTTTTCCGCAGACGGCTGAGCCAAAGACCTGCCGTGGAGGAGCTGGAGAGAAGAAATATCCTGAAACGTGAGTAGCTGAGGGTGCCTCTGGAGGGTTCCTTCACGTGCTGAGCCTGCTAACCCAGCTGGCTCTGTGGTTCCCCTGGGTCCCACGAGTCACGAGTAGGAAAGCTGATGGGTGTGGTGGATGGGGGTCCCGACGGCCAACGGGATCACTGGCCCAGGTCCCAAGTCTTACTAGAGAAGGACATGCTCCTTGGTTCTCACGCCCAAGAGAATAAAGCAGGCCACTGAAAGGAGTAGGGAGCCACAGGACTCTCTAGAGGGTCAGCACTTTGAGATTCTGTGTTGCTCGGGCCTGGAGCTTCCCCAGGAAAGCATGTAATTAAATCTTGTGCTGAACACAGGTGTCCATGGGTAATCTCCACCCACACAGAGTTCTGTGTCCTTAAAGTCTCTGGTGTTTGGGTGTTAAAACTCCTTCAGTGTTTCTCGGTATGTTTTTCACCTGGTCAACAGATTTCAATTTTTCAAACATTTTTCATAAAGAAGTGTCTCCTAAGGGCCAATTGCATAGCATGATAAAGTTTTTCTTTTCTTTTTATGTGATGAATACTGCAAAGGTTCCTTCGGTTTGGTTTTTGTTTGCAAACATCTCTTTACAAAGTTCTAGTAGTTCTAAGACCAGCTGGGGCCCTGCACTCTGGTGATCCCTCCCCTTTCTTGGCCTCAATGCCTTCATTAGCTGCCCAAAGCAACTCTCTCTGTCATTGAAAAATATTTAACCCTAAAGATTAACGATTAAAAATTACTCGTTTTATTTTTTAAACTGAAGAAATGGCAACTACCGTGGGCGACGTCTGAGGATTGTACTGATGCCAGGCATAATTAAGTAGGTAGACAGAAAAGCTGTTTGTTATCAAATATTCAGGATTTAAAGAACCAAAGCCACTTGTTTATAAATGTGTGGAAGCCACAGATGCCATTGCTAGTACTAGTCCAGTAAGTCGTAGCCGGGAAGTGCCATGCTCCCAGCAGCCTGCTGCCCACAACAGGAAGAGACACTAGAGATGCTGCCTACCAGAGTCCTTCTTCCTGTCCACACTGGCCTCTCTCCTGTCATGGGCAGCCAGGTCCTCCCACCGGCAAGCGCTTCTAGTTGTGTTATGTTTTGTGAATGTTAAACCCTTAAAAATAGAACTGTGCTGTGAATAGAGGGCTAGTGAGTGGACAGCTGGAACTGATCACACTTTCCTTCTGTGCACAAAGGGAAATGGACCTCTCTGCAGTGGTCAGGGCAATGCTGCCGTAAAACCGCACCTTTATCAGTGAACCCGGCCGGTCCTTAGCTCAGAAGCCTTCTTAAGTGTCCTGAGGGAAGGACCTGAGAAGCTCATCACTAGGGTTGTAGTGGGTGGTCTGTGTGCTTGTTCTGTGGGAATGAGAACAGGGTAGCCACACAAGGCCCAGTACAGAGCAACACACTCACGAGCCCTTGACACATGTACGCCAGACACTCACACCAGAAGGCATTTCTGCTGGTAATCAAATCTAAGTTATCATAACTTTACATTTGCTTCTCTTCAAGTTGGGAACTCATGACTAATTGCAGTCATAGCTATGGGACACTCAGAACTCTGCCTGTGTGTTCATAGACAGCAGAGCCCGAGACACGGGCCCCTTTGTACATGACCACAGTGATTCTCTAGTAGGCCCAGGTGTACCAGCCTTGCTTTTAGTACATTCAGTCTTTACTACAACATGTGAGGTTGTCCTGAGGTCTGAGAGGAAGTGTGATGCTTTAGCAAATTACCGTTGCAGGACAGAACTGGAGTCCAACCCCAGGTGTGCCTTGCCCTATCAGCCGTATTCTTAACCACGGTGTGAGGAAAAGCTTCACATTCCTAAACATCCTTGGAAGACAACTTACGACTGTCCAGGCGGCTGGAGTGGCTTCCCACAAGGATGGGTGTAGAGGTCCTGCCTATGGACCCACTTTATATAAGGCCTTCTAGTTCTGCAAAGAAAAAGCTCACATACATGTTGCTAAGGTCACTTGCGGGGGAGGCGTGGGGGCTTAGGCTGGCAGGAGGGACTTCTTGGAGCAGGTGACTCACTTATACCTGAAGCAGAGAACAGTCTGACAGGTCTTCCAATGATCACCTCCCAATGACCCTGCCTCGCTCACAGGCCTTGGTAACAACAAAGTTCTGATTTTGCTAGCTCCCCCGACCCCATGTGGAGGCTGTTCTTGGGGTTTGTCTGTGGCCTGAAATTTGATAAATTACATTCACATCACTTAAATCCAACGTGGCTGGTCTTATATCTGAATCCTGCACACTTCTTTTTTAACTATATCATCCACTTTCTAATCATAGCTATTTTTTTTTCCTGGCTTATCACTTGGCTAAAGAACCAAGCAATCATAGGGTTTTATTTCCTTTTCTAAAATGCTCTAATGTAAGAAGACTCTTTTAAAAAAATTATTGAGAAGTGCAATTTCTGACATTTTAGACACCCATATACCAATCCCTCAAATGGATCTTTTAAATAAAGGAAGATGACGTAAAATCTTGTTAACTGCAAGTAGCAGGAATTCCCATCCCCAAACTGGCAGTGTTTCTCAGAGTGCTGGTGGCTGGGAATCTCCTCAGGAGTGAAGCCCTTCTGGGGCTTATGGCTTTATTTAGCAACACAGAGCACCAGAAATAGGGCACCATTATCTTGTGTCCCAGGGCACAACATACATTGTACTCTCTATCTTAGCACTCTAGTCTATATTTAGCTTCCAGAGTGGGCGTGAGCACAGTGTGGGTGTTAATAGTCACAACTCACAAGCAAAGTTAGTTTCAGTGAGGAATCTGGCTCCTCTCAAAGGCACTGTTCACAGAATTGTTTGCATGCTTGAGCAAAAGTGAATCAGGTGTCTGTGTTCAGGTTTGAAATACACCTTGACTCATTCCAGGTGAGCATATGCTGCCCAGAGCTGAAGGAAAGTATGCCATCTTATGTTGAATTGCTGAGTTATGGCACCTGTGAAATGGCAAAACCAAAAAGCTAGGAGTGAGAGTGCTGTTTACAGTCAAAGGCATGCAAACCTCGACTTACTCTACAGCAGCTGCTCTGTGTGCCATCTGTGTTCCTAGACATAAATATACAGAGAGATTTGGGTAGGATAGAGACAGATCTGCTTCCAGCAAACAGGAAAACAGCACAATATCTGTGGCTGTTTCTGATACAGAGGTAGGGCAGAGGGGAACCAGGCTGGGATGGTTGGTTCTGTATAACAATCAGACTGGGATTCCTGAGCAATGATTGGCCCCCTGGAAAAAGACAAAGTGGGGAAATGTGATATGGAGAAGTGTCAACCCCAAAGTTTCCTTGACATTCTCCTTCAAGACCAGGGCCAGGGGGATCTTCAGTGTACCTCTTTACCAAAAAAAAAAAAGTCTCCATCTGTTTGTTTTAATCTTTCACAGAAAGGAATGATCAGACAGAGCAGGAAGAAAGAAGAGAAATCAAGCAAAGATTAACAAGAAAGGTATTATGATTGAAGTATTTTATTTCCTGAATTAACAACAAAAATAGATGAACTAGAGAGAAGCTCTCCTGCAGCAATGGGTATGGGTAACCTAAGACACCACCCAAGCATGGCACAAGCTAAATCAGGTGTTCACTCAGCAACAATCAACTCGCTAAGACAACACAGAGGGCAGAGTCTTTTGCCACTACCAGTGTCTGGATGGGGACCCTGGACGAATCCTTGCTTAGCACAGTGGGCAGGCTGGAAAGGCAGCAGAATCTAGACATCACCACCTCCTCCAGGCAGACCAGAAGCTGACTGGGTGCTTTCTTAACTTACATGATGTCTAATAGGAACACACCTGGGTATCGGCGTGGTACTTTCCAGACTGTTTTCCCCTTTCTGGTTGCCACATGTATGCGGAAGTATGTCTGGAAGCTCCCTACCTGCAGACTGGACTAGTGTCAGGGCTTGTGCATGCAGTCTCCTCTGGAAAGGCAGACCTTTTCTAAACTCAGCAGTTCTGTTCTGCCTCTCCACTGTGCTCCATGATCACAATGAACTTTTTTTCTGCTCAAAATTAATAAAATGTAGTTCCTGAGCTTGATGTATAGTACTAGGAGTCTGCATAACATTGTCAGTAATTTAAAAAGAGATTATCTAATGGTGCTGGTGCTGTAAAATTTATTCTGAGTCAATTTATCAACCAGTCCTTGATTTTGTGCTATGTACTATCAGGGGTGGGAATCCTCAAAAATGTGTTGGAAGAAGGGGGATGTGATTTAAGAACATATAATTTAAGCTGTGTACGTTAGATTGTATTTGGATTATATTATATTTCAAAATTAGTTTGGCATATGATACCTATCATAATCTTTTACTTTAGCTTAATCAGAGACCCACTGTTGATGAATTAAGAGACAGAAAAATCCTGATACGTTTCAGCGATTATGTGGAAGTAGCTAAAGCACAGGACTATGACAGGAGAGCAGACAAGCCCTGGACCAGACTGTCGGCTGCAGATAAGGTACAGAATTGCCTGTGCTGGTTGGGGTGTGGTGTCTCCTAAGAACAATAAACCTGCTATGCTTATTCTTATGTAATGGCAGCCATTTTCTTAAAGCTTTTCTTTGACTACATGTTGGCTTCACAAAGATAGCTCAGGGTCAGAGTTGAGCAGTGGTTTTCAACTTGGGGACAGTTGTGTCTCGAGACAATTCTGGTTGTCACAATTTGGGTGCTACTAGCATCTAATGAATAGAGGCCAGAGATCCTGCTAAACGTCCCATAATACACAGAGCATTATCTAGTTCCAAATGTCAAGAATGTGTCAATTGAGAAGCCTTGGTCTGGAGGATGAATCAGAAATATGCAAGGCTGGCATAAATCAGATGAGTTTTATCAAAATGAGTTGTAACTGGACAAAGAGGAATGGAATCCATCCGAGAGGATTTCAGGAAGTAGATACAGAGGTTCTGGATTTGTTCCTGGACTTGTGCAGCTTGAGATGTCTCTGGGAACCCTCTGAGGAGTTTGAATTTAATTTTCAGAGAGCAAGGAGGCAGTCTGTCACGGTAGGTCTGGGGTGCAGGAGGGGAGTGGACATTTACTGAGCAGTGTGGGTAAGTTTTTGTCCATGGTCAAGTGCTAATGACTGGCAGGATTTAGGTCCAGGAGTGTGTCTGTATCAGCTTTCAACCACACCTGCATGCCTGTAGCAACTTTCAGAATGATTACAGGTTTTAGGACAAGGAGGATTAAATATTCAGCCAATGAATTTGTAATTGTTTTTCATTCTTTATTATGAACATTTATAAATGCACACATTCATAGGTGTTGTATCAATTTAGAGGAATGCTGTCATGCTGAATTTGGACTGACTCTTGGTTAGTTAGGGTTTATTTGCTTAGAGGATCATAGTGATAAGAAACGAACACATTAGCTTCCAAAGATACAAGTATGGGGAAAAAAATATGCCCCCAAAATTCTAAATTCAAAAGGCTTTCCTTGTTGCAGAGGCTATGTTTGATGCTCTTGTCCTACCTGGCCCTAGAGGGTTTATCTGAGACACACGTCTTAAGAGGAAAGTGGGCCTGGGAAGCTCAAGGAGGGGGCAGCAAGATCAGGCCCTGGATAACTGAAAACATCATGATGCATGCCCCACCCATCAGGATAATAATAAAATGTTATTATTCAAATGTCACAAAACTCACATGCTGAAGTTAGAATAATTTCTTTCTGGATTATCTAGATTGTCATGCAAAAGTTCATGTTCACCAAAAGCTGAACTCTGCACATTGTTTTGCTGTCCCTACTTCATTAGTGCCTTAAGCATGTGGTGGTTCACTTGTTAGTGTGGGAAGGGCTATCTGCTACTCCAGCACAGCAAACTACTGCCTTCCACAGGTCTGACTCCTTACTACCTTAGTAGGACTATAAAAAGGAGTAAGGCAGTCTAAATGTTGAATGAAAAAGTTTTTCTATGTATTACCAAACAGCAAGTATTAATGTTAATCCATAAACATAACTGATTTCCTCTGTTAACTTTTGAATGTTCTGAAATGCAGTATCCTATCTTTAATTTCAGGCAGCAATTCGTAAAGAATTAAATGAATACAAAAGTAACGAAATGGAGGTACATGCATCAAGCAAGCATTTGACAAGGTGATATTTGTTTTTTATGATATTTACAGCATGGCATTTTTTAAAAAAAAAACACAAAAGCCATATATCCAGGTAAACAAATTTAGCATTCTTACAGAGAGCTGAATTGAACAAACCAAATGCACCTCATTTAAAAATACTATCTTCTCCAATGATTTTAAATAGGGTCTGGTGGAAAATGATATATAAAATAGTATTAGAAAGGTCATTACATTAAGTAGTGTAATTTTAAGGAAATTAGTCTCAAAACAATGGAAGTAATTTCCTTATACATTTTTCTAATAGGTATAAATTGATAAATTCTACATAAGAGTACTGTGAAATTACTCTCTACCTTCCCACTTGCCTTTCTGTATCTTAAATTTATAATCACATTTAACACAGTTAATGTTCCCCAAAGCTAAAAGAGGATCATTTCCCCAGCAAATATCTGCACACCTACAGTGTGGCAGGTACTATTTTAAGATGCTGAGAATGTGACTGCACGTGTGATCAAGGAGGCTCCCATTCAGCCCACCTCCAGCTGGGGATCCACAACCATTCCCATCCAGGTGCACATATTCTCTGTCCACGCCACTACATGCAAAGGATGACACTGGGTTTCTTGGTGATGATGAAGTTGGGAAAAAGATTACTCTTGGTACTCTGCTTTCCCTTCTTTCCCATAGCCATGACCAGTAATAATTATCTTAAAATTCTCACCTGCCTTTAATCTTATGGGGATGACTGTGATGAAATACTCTCATTGCAGCAGTTGCTTTCTCTAAGATGCTTGTGCTCCAAGTACAAAGACAAAGGAAATCCTGAGCATACATACTGCCTTAAACTAAAATGATTTATTTTCTGTTTGTCACAAAGTAGCCACTGTAAGTATTGAAGAGCAGTTGCTCTATACACTCTGTGTGACCATGGAATTCCTCTGGTTTCTGTTATATTGAGTAAAAATGTATCAAGGCAGGAAAAGCAGGTAGTTAGGAGAAAATTATGCAAATAAATAATTTTTAAATTTGTTAAGATCTCCTCAAACAATGGACATATTTCTGGGGAGGAATAGATCATCTTAGTTTTGCTTATTTCAAATGGGTTCCTTATGAACATTTGGGAATTAACATGCAATTATTTTTAATGTTCACTTTGTTTTAAAAAATAGGCTGTGTAGTAAATTAAATCCTAAGTATAAAATCTCAATTACATTTTCCCAATATACATTATTAAAATGTTTACTCTCGGTATTTATCTTAAGTTTTTGATAGATGACACAATTTTCAAGACTCAGCTGGGTATGGTGCATGCCTGTAATTCCAGCAGCCCGGGAGGCTGAGATAGGAAACTGCATGTTCTGAGGTTAGCCTCAGCAACACAGCAAGACCTTGTCTCAAAAATTAAAAAGGTCTAGAGATGTAGCTCACTGGTAAAGCACCGCTGGGTTCAGTCTTTAAAGAATGAACCCAAACCTGAACATCAGGAAATAATTCAAGGTTCTTCATGCCACATTTTAGCACTCCATATCAATTTTTAAAAATAATATTTTAGGTCATGAGATTTTCTTAAATATTACTATGAACATATTATCAACTCTATTAAAAATACTCATGGCTCTAATTTCCAATAATTTATCACCTCATTACTTTTGCTGATTTAGCAAAGCCCTCACCTTTCTGTGTACTTTGAGGGTTTAACTAGTAACTTTAATACCAAGTTATATTCTGCACTCTTGGGAACACCTATAATACATTCTGAGGTACAACAAGGGCATGAGAGTTGGGAGCCCTCTATCCTACCACCCAGAGAAGCTCCGTTTTTTTTTTTTTTTTTTTCATAGTGAACTTCAGAGAAGCTTTGAATAACAGCAAATTTCTATGTGGAGGTTTTTGACAATTTTAACTGTTTTTATAATTTCTAGATTCCACAGGCCATAAGAGATTTTCTTCTGAGAAGAATTTGTGTTTAATTTTTGATACCAACATTTTGAACATTCATCAGGGAACTTTTCCTGAAAATCAGCTCAAGACTACCTGCTGTTTTTGTGAGGAGAGCAGAATCACACAGGTGCAATCTTGGCCACACTTACCTACAAGAGGAGTAACCAGAGGACATACTTCTTTGGTGTCTGAGGAGTGTGAACTGTTGGGGTCAGTTAAGGCCCAAAGTAACTCTGCCAGAAGAAAACTGTTGTTTGCCTTTCAATCTCGTTTTACAGTTCTGCAGTGTATGGAGGACAGGTGAAGTGCATGTGCAGGCTCACCACTCCCAGGCCTCTGATGTGAGGGACATGTGACGCAGTGTCATTCAGTATTTTGTTGAGGAGACATTTTTATTCTGATCATGATTAATTTGAAAACTCTTTAAGTTCATGTTATATAAATGATTTACTGTATTATACTTTTTCTTTTTTTATATGTCTAACAAAAAAATACAGCTCTGACATTTTGATTCCTGTTAATTTTGTTCTTTAATTAAATGACTACTTATTGCAGGAAATTAACTCAGGCTTTACATTTTCTTGGGGTGGGGATGAATGGTACCTTAGAATAGGCATTGGTGGAACAAGTAACTTTTAATACTTTGGAACCATCACAATCTGAACACATGAATAAGAACACCATTTTTTATGTTTCATAAAATCTTAGTATATGTGGAAAACCCAATTAACTTACAAATCAGTACTGAATATATCCAGAAATAAGCAATAATTTGTGGGCATAATTTTCATTTTGGTAAAATTTTTCATGTTTGAATATTTTTAAGTTCGCATTTGCAAATATTAAAAACCCTGTTATAAGAGATACAGGTTTAGATGAAGCCGAGACACTATAAGAGGAAATTTACCCCGGGCCAAAGGTAAAAATGAAACTTGGCACATTCCCTGAAAAATATTTTTTGGGTTTTTGCATAAGTGTCCTGGCAGAGATGAGCCTCCCATCCCTCCCTACTGGTATGCTGCTGAAGCAGGAGACAGTGGCTTGGAACACGACTAGGTGCTTGCAAAACCTATTCTCAAATCTAAACTGCTATTCAGAAGATTGCTTATTTTCTCTTGGATGATCACCCTTGTCTCACAACACTGCAGTAATGTCTGAATGAGAGAGTAGCTGAAGTGCTGGCACAGTGCCTAGCACATTCTAGGCCTTCAATAAATGCGAGTCACTGGTATGGGGCCAGAGAGTGCCTAGAGCAACTGAGTGTCCTCTATGAATGTTTATCATGTATGCTACCTCATTGCTTCCTATGATCCTCCCTTTTCTACTCAAGACTACTGAGGAAACTGTTCAACCCCTATGGCAGCACTTTGAAGAGACTTGTGGTCAGTCCTAGATACTGGCAAATGTACTTACTATTAGTCAAGTTACAGTTTATAAGAAAATCTTGTTATGGTAAAAAAAAAAAAAAATCCCAGTTCTACCTCTTACTTTTCTATGACATGACAATCGCTTGTTTTTCCTGAGCCTTGATTTCTTTGTATATGAAAGGAAATGTCTAAATTATTTCTAGTTAGAAATCAATTATATTGGGTAGGGAACTTGAACCTAGGGGCACTTAACCACTGAGCTAGATTCGCCAGCCTCACCCCCCTTTTTTTTGAGAAAAGACCTCACTAAGTTGCTAAGGTTGGCTTTGAACCTGTGATCCTCCTGTCTCATTATCCTGAGTTGCTGGGATTACAGGCTTCTGCCACCATGCCCAGTTGAAGTCAGTTAATTTTATAAGCATTTAATATGTGCACATAACTTGTTTTATTCATAACATTATTTGTGGCTAGATAATCACCAATTTTTTTTCCTTTTCAAGCTATGTATTATCAGCTCCTGCTATTTTATACTGTGCTCAATTTAAAATATTAATTGGAGCCCAAATGTTGTAATAAACTAAAACTATCATCTCCCTCACACAGAAATAGCTTCGTACTTACTATGAAACAAAGGGAGAAAGGTTCTACTATTCTAGAGACCACCCTCAAAGCTTAAAAGATCATTACTGCTTAGGAAAGAACCAGATAGAGCATATGCTTAGAAATAATGTGGTAGACTGGACCCATATTTAGTTTTTTTCCCCCCAAGTTACATATCTAATGGATAACAAATTAATATAAATTTCAGGATACTCAAAGGAGGATTTGGGTTAAGATGCAAAGGTTCTAAGATATCCTAAAACCAGCAGACATTTTAATTTTAATCCAAATTTTTGGCAACAGTATCTAACTTCTGCCTTTGGGTTTTTGTTAGTCATAAACTGCTGCTCTAAATTATACTCCATATTTCATGCTGTATCAGGTATTGTAAGAGTTAAAAGATAAACGTGATTCAAGTATATTTACTCTGAACCTGATAATTATATATAATTCTGTACTAAATAAGTATGTGATAGCACATCTCAAGTTAGTTGGAGAAAAAACGTTAAAAGCAATTCATCATAAATCAAGTAATGGAGATATAATGAATATAAATTTGCATGTGGTAGTATAAATATGAAGAGTTTATATTTGAGTCTAAATACTTAAGTATAAAACTATTTTGCAACAATAGAAGCAGTACACAAATTGTCAGTGATTACTAGTATTCAACAATGAGGTTTTTAATGTATTGACTTTAAAATATTGTGAAAATAGCAAAGGATTTTTAAAATAATAATATTTAAATAATGAAAGTAATTCTGTTTTTAAGAAGCTTAAAAGATTTTTTACAAACTATTAGTTATTTTATTAAGGACATTAAATAACTTCCAGAAATATTTTCTAAGTTTTAAGCTAATGTGATGGGGGAATAAATAGTACATCATGTGACTTTGTAAAAAGCAAGTTTAAAAAATGTAAATGGACTTTGAAATTTTAGCATCTGAATAATTTTTGAATAACTGAAGTGGGAAAAAAATACAGAAACAACAAAAACAAAAAGACCCTATCATTAAGTGGTCCATCTTGTGGAAGTAAATGGTAACTACAAGTCTAATTTAAGACTACAGGTCACATTGGTAGTAGAGGCAAAGTTCTTCAATAGCAAATTCAAGTCCAGAGGTATGAAATCCCAAAAGAACTTTTAAAATTACTAGACCCACATTTCTAGTACCCATTACCAAAGTTCTTTTCCAGAGACCTTATCTGAAGTTTAATCTCTTTCATCTGAGAACATCTTAGAAGATGTTCAATATAACTGAACATAAAAAATCCAGCTGTATATGTGAAAGTTTTCAAAAAGCTAATTCCTATAAATTATACATGATCATATTTCTCTGTACATCTATTGGTAATGGTAACATTAGGAATATATCATTAGTTCATGTGTAGACAAAACGTGAGATGGAAAAATCTACCAGATATCAGGTCCATAGCTCTATGGAAACAGAGCACATTTTCATGTTCAGAGTAATACAAAACATTTTTGAAGATTCTAAACATAACTGTAAACTGCCTTAAAAATATAAACAAGAATCCCTAAAATTATATTTTCTTGGTAAGCAATGGGAGAGAAATCTGGATATGGTGTACATGCTAATAATTTGATTTTTAAGTTGCCAACATGCTAGTATATATTCTTTGTGCATTATACTTTTTAAATGCAGTTTATTAGCCCTCTTTAAAGATGTGCACACTGAACATATTACTATACTGGCCTACACCACCAGTTTGTTCCCTGTTCCCACCTAGCCTGCCTCTTGGTGGGGATGCCTGGTATGGCACGAAGCATGATTTCAGGAACCACTTGCTTGATATCTTGCTCTAATTTTTACAATCCATATTAGATTTGTTTGCTAACATTAATTTATTGGTGTGTTATTTTGCTCAAAATTCTACTTTAGTTGTTTATTCACAGCATTTTCTATGCTTACTTCAACTTTTGATTAACTATGTTAAACACTTATATAAATAAGTATGCATTCATGTACAGTAAGTGTGACCAGGTAAATGTTAACCGGTAATGAAGATAAAATGGCTGAAGAACTACCTCCAGCAACTGGAGCTCCACACTAAGCACTGAACTCAGAGTCGGCAGAATTTGTGACTTTACAATGAAATTCTGATGTGGAATTAAAGGCTATATGGAAAGCATACATTTTACTATGAGTTTGATGGATACGCTGGCCTTTTAAATTGGTGTTGGGTGTTTATGGCTTCAGGATTTCTTGGTATTTAGATCACTGTTGTAATTGCTGTGAAATTTAGATTCCTACCTAGCTATACTAATCTAATCTTTTTTCTCTTTCATGTCCTTTCCATGTGTATTTCGGGACAGTTACTACGCTGCAGCTCTATTTGGTTGAGAATGTGGTAAACGTACACTAACATGGTGTTAGGTTGTAATTCAGGTAAGATATGCAAGTCATTAACTACAATGATCATTTATTTTTAATGTAATAGAAAAGTCAACAATTTTTAGTCTTACTGATTAATATACCAACTTTACTCTGCTCATGAAAAATTGATTTAAATCACTACTTCTGTTAAACAATAAGATAAACTGGGGAAAATTGCAATGAAGAACAGAGAGATGTAATCTTTAAAATTTTCCCTCTAAACTTGCGATATGTAAACTACAGCCTACAGACCAAATCTGGTCAGCTTTTTTAAAAAAAATTTTAATGTCCTGCAAGCAAAGAATGGTTCTTATATTTCTAAGTGGTTACATTTGAAATGTTATACATTTGCCTTTTGGCCCACAAAGTCTAAAGCATACACTATGTGGCCTTTTAAGACGTTTGCCAACTCCTGCTCTAAACTTAAAAAAAAAAAAAATGTATAGTCGAAAATTTTAGAAATGAATTACCCAAGATAATTAAAATACCTAAAAGTTATATAAGCCTAAAAGATTTTAACATCAAATCTATTCCAAATTTCAATACTCATTATAATTTCATACTGAAAATAGTCATCTGACTTATATAAAATGCATTGTCAAATTAGGTAAAACATAAAGAAAGCCATATCAATATTAAAGGCAAATGTTTCAATAATCTGACATCCCACTCCTCAAATCCTTTTTACTTAAAATTATTGCTATCACAGTACAAGCTAAAAGTATATTATCTAAAGTTCGAGGTAGTATATATTGATCTCACTCAATATATCTGTATTCCTGAAAAAATGTTGACTTATTTTCCTCCCGATGTTATTTCAGACGAATTCCATGGGTCTAAAAAAATGAAAACTAACCATTACAAAGACATCAACATGTTAGCAAAACAGTCCATATAGGCGATTTTTGTTTTCACAATTCCTTCAAGGGTTCAACAAAATGGAAATTCATATGAATCTACATGACTTTAAAGCACTTATCTCCTCATTTTAAAGTATGAGGAAGGGGCTCATTCTTAGCTCTGCGTCTAGAGTAAATTCAGTGCAATGCATGTCATGTCTCATTAATTGCAATGAAAATGCTGACACACAGGACTTGAATGCTTCAGGAGACACACTGGCTCTCTAACTTAGTAAATCCCTACTGGAAAGGCTATGTCATTTGTTCCTTCACTACTCTTTTAGGTTCTGAAAATTGT